GATCCCAAATAAACGAACGATTGTTTCTTAATGAATAGATGTTCCTCTATTCAGAAAAATCAAAACCAATCCAAACAAATGCAGATAGTGTGACAAATGGCCCTTTAAAAATGACTAATATTCAAAAAAGTTCCAAGTCTGCTTTCAATGGTCCTGATAACCCCCAAGCATACCCTTTAAAGTTCAATGCCAGAGCTTCAAATTTCGTCTGGTTAGACTAGATAGATGAAGAAATGTAAAAATCAAAATCATATATCAGCATCTTTAATAGAACTCTGGAGAGAGCGATCCGAATTTCGTGAATTTCCAGGCAAAAATTCTCCAATTATTAAGGGTCTCCATGGGGGGTTCCAGAACTCCATAACAAAAAAGAGCTGGAGGGTTTTAATCATATGGCTGGTGATAGTTCCCCATACCTATCCTATGTACAAAATTTGAGCGGATTTGGCCGACCCCCATCTTCCGACCTTCCATTGATTTTGCCTGGTTTTCTCATGCAATGACTCTTAAATCAAATATATGAATTCTAGGGTTTTCGAAAAGCTGTGTGCGTTATTCGTAAGCAATCCTGCATGTTGACAAGTCATGATGTGATCACCTAGGGTGACTAGAAAGGCCAGTTTGAACAAACATAGTACTGGGTACATGTCAAAAGAAGGTGTTAGGCAGCAGGGCATACCACTTAGACACCGGTCACACACTGTACAATTGCAGTCTGGTGCATTCATGGGATAGTCAAGCTTGTGTCCTGGAAAATTCATCTGTCCTGCATGTTATGGAAAATGTCATAGAGCTTGTCAGAAGTTGATTCTGTCACATCAGAATGGTATGTCAACCTATGACAAATGTGATTGCCCTGTTAGTGAAAGGGAAAAGAGGTAGTGATGTATGGGCACTCTTTACTACCGAGCAAATTTTGTATTTGTAAATATATTTACACATATTGTAAGAGGTGAAAAAAAGCAGAGGCAGAATGTCAGTTTGTATAAAGCGTTTTTGCCCCATGTTACTGGGTGAGGCTGAGAACTTTTTGAACTCTCCTTATACGTGTGTGCAATTGTCATCAGCTATGACATATATCCCCTTCCCTAGACAATGCAATAAGTAATGGAACTACACATGTAGTTCTTTTGATGATTAATTTGATGATTAATTAAAGATATTACTTAAAGATGGATTTTCATCATGTCTAGCACAAGTGTTTTTTCCTCAAAAGAGGCCATGGGTAACTGGTAGAATTTGAAAATAAAAATCTGAAGGTTGAATATGAAGCGAGTTCAACTTCCATAGGACCACAGCTGCTACATGATTGTACATTGAACCAGTATATCATGATGATACTATACATTGCATCTGTCCAGGGAGAGAATAAATTTCTTAAAAGTTACCTTCCCTTTCCTTTCAATTGTGGCTTCAAAAGGCAATGAACAGCTCCTACTGGACAGAAACTATACTACATGTAGTATACAACATGTACACTAGATATAGTGCTGTAAACCTTAATATAACATCAGGATCAGAGGTTAAGGTACAGGTACAGGTCCCAGTCCAGACCTGTACCTGACAAAATAACCTTTAAGTAACCTTCAATGATGACCAAAACGTGAGCAAACAGTTAACAGAATGTTTATTTAGACTTCAGGTATGTATCTTATACAGAGAACCCACGCATGCTTTTGCAACGATCTTGAATCAAAGATGATGCTGATTTCATTGCCTGTAGAATAAATAATGTTTTCATATTTTTCCAGTGCTAAATTTTCATCATTGTGGTGGAAATAACAGGTTTTTAGCAACAAAATAAGTAAAAAAGTTCTGTACCTGTAACAGTTGATTATCCTAAGGCACAGTAGTATTTAATCCATGTCCCTTTATTTAATGGAATAATTGCAAAAGGTAAAGTAGTACCATAGTTTTGTGCGTATCATAAGAACACACTGATTTTAATTTATTTCCAGGTATTGGCACTGTAGGGTCTGATGTTGTCTTTTTCCCCTCTTATATACAGCATTGGACGAGATCTGAGAGGAACACGTCGCAGACTGATGCTGAAAGTCAACTCACCATCACCACACCTGCTGCTGCTGTAAAAAGACTGCTACATCTTGTTGATCTGTTGTCATCATTGATACAAAAAGACACTAGGGTTTACTAGTAGGAAGTCTCAAGATCTGTAAATTTATGTTGAATGTCACACCAATTTGCTACCCTGGTTCTCATATTTTGGTAGAAAATTACTGGATGGGTACGCAAAATGAAAATAGGGACTTTTGCAGATATGGGTACACCAATGCATATACATGTATGTACTGTATACTGAAGAGAAACTTTTGGAGACCAGAAACCTACTGGCTTGACACCAGCAGTGGCACCAGCAATGGCTGTGGGGTACATACATGTAATGAGGTATATCAAAACTTCTAAAGTTAAACATATTAAAAAACATCAGGTACAGGTACAGAACTGCACCTCACCTATACAATTTGACACTTAGTAACCTGTGGTCTTCATTGATGACAGAAACATGACTAAACAGCTAACAGAATGTTCATTAGATGTCAGGCATCTGATACAGAGAACCTATGTTGTTGAAAGGATCACAATTCAAGATGGTGCTGATTTCAATACAATATATGCGATGTTTTTCATCTTTTTCCAGTGCTACATAAGTACGTTTTCACCTTGGTGGGAGGAATAACAGATTTTTAATATTAATAATATAAGTTGTAAATATATCTACACATATTGCAAGAGGTGAAGAAAAAGAAGAGACAGGATGACAGCATGTATAAAGCCCTGTTACATTGTACCGGTAATCCTAGGATATCACCATTCCAATGTAAAATGATTTCAATACAATTATCTATTAAATGAACTGATATTGGTGAGGAAAAACATTCATTTAAAGTTTAAGTTTGGAACGACTCATTTTGATATAGTCACACTGTTTAAATTTCGGATTATTGTACAAATGTATAACGTTATTCTTAGGATGGCTTATAATGTCTATAGTCAAGAGATGTATTAAAAATGTTACTTGTACTTTCTGAGTTAAAAAAATAAATGTAAGGGAATAAGACAGATTTTTCCTTTGTCGAATTCCACCTCTCAGACACTTCCCCATCCCTTAGTAGTGTGTACGCAATTCACACACCTCACAATAGCAATTATTTCAGTCCACTTATTACTAGTAGTATACATGTATAACTACGAGCGCCACCAAACGGTTCCTTGGAGAAATGCAACATCCCGAAATGTATCCTGGGAACCTTGACGTCATCAACCAGTCGGCCGAGATGGCAAGATGGCGGGTAGGTCTGTATTTTTGCCTGTTCGCTGTAGCTTGGATTTTCTTGGCAATCTTCGCGTTTTTACGCCCAAAACTCACCCGATTTATGCATCATTTTACAGAGAATGAGCAGAAGTATTACTGCAATTACTGCCAGGTGGACATAACGACGTTACGGGTCAAATGTGCAGTCTGCAATGACTTCGACCTTTGTTTGGAGGTAAGGCTTGGCCCATCAACGACTAACAATCAGTCACGCCAAAATGGTTTCGCCTGATGTGGGGGTGATCAAAAATTGGAAAAAAATACATAAAACATGCGAATTTATTATCATTCTGTATATATATTGCAGTGCAAAGTAAAACAAAGTAGATTTCGATATGTTATGA